AAACAACCTCATCCTCCTCTGGCTCGTCTAACGCGCCAAGAGGAGGTCGACGATGGCGGAGAGGAACGTTATCCATGGTATCCCCGGAGTTCGAAGAAGCGACGCGGGCCGTAAAAACACGGGTAGGGACAGTCTCGCCGTGGCGAAGGATAGAGAGAGGGACAGCTTCGAGCACAGAGGGTAGTATTTCAACTAAATCAGAGGATGTCTTAGAGTCTGAAGAGAAAATCAAAACAAAAACAAAGAGAACAATATCAAAAGGAAGCCGTCGCAAAGAAGAAAGAGGGGAGAAGAAAGATTAGGGTTTTACGGGAAAGCAACCCAAAAACCAGAAGGAGAATTCGGGGGGTAAAGGGACGGAAATTTCAAAAATTTTCCAAGTAGAGGCAAAATCCTCAACACTCAATAGACAAACAAGAGTATTCCAAGTACAAATTCAACACAAAACGAGCCAATTTGAAACAATTCAGCAAGCAGATCAAGAGCACCCAATATTGAAAATCCAAGAATACAGAAAATAGAACCATAAAGAATACAAATTCAAGTGTGAAGAGACTTACTCATAACCGTAGATCGATAGTTGATGGAAGTTTGAAGGAGCGCAGGAGAAATCGCCGAGAAAACAAAGGTTTTTTTGCAGAGAGAATTCTGGGTGCATAATAATTCAGAAACTGTGAAGGTGGAAAAAAGTTGGAAAATACGCTAAGTATGGAATTTATACTTTGGGAGATTGAAGGGTGGAGAGACGAGGGCCGTTGGATTAAAGTTAGATCCAACGGTGAGGAGTATTAATTTGCACGGAGCTCAAAACGGACGCGTTAGGCGAGGAGGCGCAATGATTAAAGCGCCTGACACATATGACAGACGTGACGCGTGGTAGAAAACAGGCGCGACAGAAAGGACTTAAAGCAGATAACTTTATCTCTAGCGATTAATGGAAAATTATTCAAAAAAATGAGCGGGAAGCTTACCAGCTGGTCGATATCTGACGACAAACCATCCAGAGAGACGATAAATACTAATTCACTCTTAGATCGAGTCATTCAGACTCGACCAGAGTGGGGGGGGACTAGATGATATGGGATATTATACCCATTAGGCTGAACCGGTCCATTGACCTGTCGAGGAGGTCGTATTATGAGGTAGTCAAAGAAATCGAGCAGTTAACCAGTCGACCAAACAAAGCCGTCGA